TAGCAGGTTCTACTGGTTGCCCTCACCTGCTGCCTATCGGTGGGCAGCTGTGGCCAGACAACTGATGGCAACCTGTGCTGCTGTGGGGACTGGAAGTCCATAGGAACAACACAGAATCTGCTCCTTTAATGTTTATCTCTGGAGGTATACGTGGTTAGTTATAGGTGAATGGTTCATGACCAGTGTTGCACTTTTGAAGCATATATGATGTACCATAAATTCGAAATGATTCACTTGCACAGGCATCTCATTTGTACAGATTTCCCTCTTTTTGACGGGACTAAGATTTGTACTTCAAGGTTTCTCAGTCCGTTTCCTAACATATGGCCAAAGGGTCTATGAGGCGATGAAATGGGCATGAAAACTCTTCACGTTTCATGGAAGTGGTGTGTGGTTTGAATAGTTAATGCATGTCTATGCAAATTTAGAGCTTCACATCAAAAGCACTTGTGGAGCATTTGTGTGTAAATACAGGTTTCTACCACCATATAGACAGCTGGTATCACATTCTTTCTTATTACCCTATTTCCCTGTGGGTTTTGTAGGTAACAGTAGTCAAAAAATAATGTGATATTCTATTTTTATAGGGACTCAGCAGTCAACATTCATTGCCAGTTAGACTCCTTTTCATGTCTGGCAGCTCTACAGAACTTGGGTGGTGTGACTAAATTGTACTTGTATGAAGGATGACATAAAAATGAGAACAGTCGTTCAACAGATTAAAGAATTTCTAGGATCCAGTACTTAGGGTGAACTTAAAAAACCAACAACTTAAAAACAGCCCCCCAGAGCTCCCAGCTTCCCCTGTCATCCCATGTAATAGGTGTATTTAAAGTCAGCCTGTTGTTTGGTTAACTTTTTAAAGTGATATAAGTGGTTGCACCCAACAAAGGAAGTCCTGCATTACCAGCGTTCAAAAAGCTTCATTCCTTTTTTGCTACATCAATTTTCAGCTGGATCAGATTCCTGATCTGCTGTGGCCACCAAACCCTTGTGTTGGCAAAGAGCGCGGTGGCACAGGAGTGAGGGTGAACGCTGAGGGGACAAAGGTATGTGGGACTGTAGCTTCAGAGTTGACTTGTTAAACAAGAATTCACGGAAATCTTCCAAAACTCCCAGATTAATGTATTTGCTATAAAAAAGTCCATTTTTACAAGTTATTCACATTTTACTATCTTTGCTTTTATTTGAGCAAGAGTAATACTGACCTTTTGTCTCCTGGAAGAACAACTTGTCTAATTGCAGTATTTTCTTGATCAACAATTGCTTTGTGCACTTCTACTGTTGTGGGCAAATGTTGGAAAACATCCTAGTCAAAATAATATAAATATATGTCGAAGATACACACATACGCACACCCTGTGTGTGTATACATATATAATAAATATATAGGATTTCAAATACTCCACTGTGACTCTGCTTCACAGACTTGGTGCCCTAATCATTTTTAGTACCTGTAATTTTAGCCTTTTGATCTCACCTGTTAAACATTTAAGTATTTTTGGTATAAACTCACTTATTACCCTAGGAGTTGATAATTGAGGTTTCTGAAGCGTTCGTCCCAGCAAACAGATCCAACTCTTTTCCTAGTTTGGAAAGCGAATTCTTCTATCTGTTTTCCAGATTCACAGTATAAATTAGCATGCGTAGTATTAGGGATGCATGATGGAAAATCTAATAGTTAGGAAATTAGACTAATAAAGACCAAATGTAGCAAACAGAAACGTAGTGAAGGAAAACGAGGAAATGCCTTTCAACCTGTGTATTGTGCTGTGGCGTCTCTCTCTGTACAGAGAGCACGGATGTAGATATGCAGAGATTAATCTGGTCAAGATGAAGCTAAAATACCGTGGAGTAGGAGATTTTGTGTGTGACTCTTTATGCTTCCATATTAAACACAGCAGGTCAGCAGATTAGAGGCAAAGGGCAGGACTGCCAAAAGAAAAGATGCCAAAATATTTCATAAATTGTATCAGAGAGAATGAATGTTGTGCGCTGCCACAGGGCCTTTCAGGAAGGGAAAACCTGAATGCAATGAATAAATAGCTAATCTGATTGCAGGTAATTTATTACTGTGATTAGTGCTATATAGTCTTTCCTGAGGGAAGAGGAAAGAAATGGATGAGACTTCCTCTTGCTGCTCCCCTTTGCTTGGCCCTAGCGTTTGATGAGTTTCCATTTTGATGGGTCATGTTTCTCGTTGCTAGCTCCTGAGAAGGAAGGCAAAACGTGACTGGTTATAAAATGGGGGAACTAGATGGGGAGCCTGGTCAGACCTTGGTTCCCATCTGATGGTAAATACTAAAGTACTTGCAATTATGGAGTGAAGCACATCTCGTCTCGCTGCTGGATGGGGGACCTGGGTCTGTAGCCAATGCATCTCCAGCAGCGCTGGTGACTCTCCAGCTCACAGCTGTGGCTGTGCAGTGCCATTGAGCTGATATACAGGAAGATGGTGCCAAACTTTGGTCCCCGTGGGGTTTCTCCTCTGGGACCTGTCTCACCTTATTCCTCAGTCCTGGAGCTGGTCCTTGGATTTCAGTGGTGTGGCTGTGACCTGAGCTCCCCAGCGGCATCTGGGAGAGGCTGTTCCCCCTCCCTGGCTCCAAAGAACTGACCAAGCAGAGCCTCTCCGTAGTCCTAATAAAATCAACAGCTGCCTTGACACCAATTGCAGTAATTACTGTTTGGTTTTCCTTACTGATTTCAGGTGCTTATATAACATGTATAATGTTACATTTATATGTTTTAATAATCACTGATGCCAGCATTGGTTTGTAATTTTTGTGCCTGGTGAGTCTTCAAATTTAGCCCTTTTTTTTTTTTCTTCTTTCAAGATGTCAAGATAAAAAAGCATTGACTTCAAGCAAAATGTTCCAGACATAATTGGACATAATATTATCAAAATGTGCTGATTTTCAAATTTATCTAAATACATGGGAGACAGTGTAAAACCTGAACATTTATCCAGTAAGATGAGAAGTTTTCTCTGCTAAAACTGGCAAATGTTGATAACTTGGCAGAAACCTGAATTTAACTTCTCCAGCCTACTTCTCTGAGAATTTAATCACATCTAGCTTGTTTTGGGGGATTGATAGTTATGACAAGTGTATCAAATTTCATGCCAGTGGTATCTTTTATGTTTCCTGAGAGAGGAGAAAATAGCAATTTTACCTTGTGCCCAGGAGTCACAGAGAGCAGGAATTGTAGGTACCTGCCACATCGAGTTTTTAAATAAAAATGAATTGCAGAGCAGCGTGTAGCAGGGATGGGGAAGAGGGAAAGGAGTGAAGCATTAACCGGAGAGGAACATTTATTGCATTCCCCCAGCTTTTAATTTAATGCAGCACCGCAGAGGGCTATGAATATGTATGATCTGCATTTTGTTCAGATGTGAGGTGTCTATGAAGATGTCGGCTTGGTTTTTTTCAGGGGATTTATAGCTTTTTGTTGTTCTCTCCAGAGTTAACTAATTTTGCAACGACAATGTTTATATACATATCTTGTGTAATTCCTGTTTCCGTGCTGTAAATATTGAAAAGCAGAGGGTTTTTAACTGGTTTCCCTTAACTTATTTAAGGGAAAGTTAATCTTCTTGTAAATACTTAACAGCTTTACTTTGAAACTTACTTAAAAAAAAAACAAAAACATAAAAAAAGAACCATAAACACAAACAGTTTTGAAAGTTGAAAGACAAGTTTTAAACTAGTAAAGCCACATCTATTTAGGAGAACTGTATTCACGAGAAATACATAGCATCCAATTCTGTGTTCCTCGGGGCAGATGTTGGGAGTACCAGAACTGGAAGATAGACACACAGATTTCCACATTCATTTTGCTGCCTTTATGAAACAAACAAAACAAAACCAACCTTTTCTAAATTATTATTAGGATTATACATCAAAAGGAATGATTTGGTATAAGACTAGGAAATCAGATTTATAGTGAAGGCAGGAGAAGGGAAATGTGAGTCTGGTTTTAGCTTTGATGCAAACTTACATGTGATTTTTGGCAAGTCACAATGGGACAGATTTTGTAAAAGAACTTGACTTCTGTGAAGACACCACAGTATGGGACCATATTTTTAAGGGAGCTCAGCACCCAATATGTTTATTTGGAAGATCTGGCACTGATTATTGGTACCAAGTACTAGAAAATCTGTCTCTGAGCTCCAAAAATCTGGCTCTGTGGGCCTGATCCATGCCTCATTCCAAACAATGAAAATAGTTGCCCTGACTTGAGGTGATCAAGCCCTGTGACCCCCCATGGTAAATGAATTAACCACATTTCCAACCTGATACCTTAATCACGTGAGTTTCATGGTTTCTTCTATGTGTATCTTACTGAAATGAGATATTACCATAAGCTGAATTATAATAATAAAGTGCAAGTCCATTGCAAGTGAATTGGAGCTTTGAAGAACAGTCTTGGCTGGAATAAGTGCCACTTCTTGTTGGGTTCCGTACAAGTTATTCCAAATAACTGCATAATTTAAAAACCAGCAGCACCAGCAGCCTAATTCAGTACCGTGTGCCTTGGTATACCCTTACAACACACTTGTGAGATGTACTGCACTCTCCGGTCTGCCCATCCAAGGTGTCTCACTGTAGCTTGTGGATTAGGGCTCAGGACTACTGACTCTGACCCAATCCCATGAATTAAGGGGTAGAACTCAGTGTCACACCTAAATCAGTGTGTCATCAGTTGAAAGCAAGGGAGCAGTGGTGGTTTATGCCGCCTTTGGAGCTGCTTTGGTACATACCAGCTTGTTTTTGTTTAATGCTTTTTATTATGACATTGCTTTGTGTGATGTTACTTTACATTTTAACACAGCTTCATTCAATGGGAGAGAAGCAGTACTAATAACTTATGCTCAGCATGGAGATGCACACAGATCTTGGGTATTTCATTCTGTCACTGCTAGCTGTCTACTTATTGTGCCGGCAATGCTGGTGTGGGAGGAAAATGTGCTAATTAAGTCCTCTTTTTTGTTATTTCAGGAAACCTACCATATGAATATAAAATAGTGATTGCTGGGAATCATGAACTGACATTTGATAAGGAATTCATGGCAGACCTTGTTAAACAAGATTACTACCGCTTTCCCTCTGTGTCCAAATTGAAACCAGAGGACTTTGACAATGTTCAGTCACTCCTGACAAATAGTATTTACTTACAAGATTCAGAGGTAACAGTTAAAGGATTCCGAATATACGGTGCCCCGTGGTAAGTCTCAATTTAAACTTTTCTTTGCTGTTTATTACTTGAACCACAGCAGGAGTCATTCCTGCTGAAAATGCATGAAGCTGCTTTGTTGCGTTGCCCTGCAGAACAGTATCAAACTTAGCCATAAACCACTCTGAAACAATTGCCACTTTTCTTTTTTTTTTTTGTGGATAAATAGGCTGTATTTAGCCACACGTGTGAAATACGAGAAAAAGAATTGTTAATTATTTCTGTTCTGCCTGCTGAATGCACTTAAACAACTGTGGCCTCGATATCCTGTCTGTGCTTGTGGATTAAGTGCAGTGGCACCTTAGTATGTATTAGAGGAGGAAGTTCCATGGTGTTGTATGCTCTTTAGGTGTTTATGTCCGCTGTGCTCATAGATTAGGATGGTAGTGTTTAACACCCACACCACACAAAGGCAGCAGGTGTTTAAGCATTATTTCCGATCAGTTCTAGGCATTTTCTTCTTTTGCTTGTAAAGTTGTGATAAAATTTCAAGCCAGTTTTGATCTCATTCCACCACTGCGCTGGGCATATGCAGGAAAAATTGCTGTCCAGTTTTGTACTAAGGAGACTCTTCCTTGTTTTTTCTACGTGTTGTTTAATTGTGATGCCTGATATCTCTGCAGAATCTTGGGTAGCGCTTGTTTTAAATTCTTGTGCTAACTACAGCCGCAGTCCTTTGAGACTCTACCAGAAACCTGAACTTCAGTGGTGGTGATAATCATTATGCTACTTGGCATTCTCAATTGTCAGCTGAAGTACTTAGATGCTAATTTATGCACACCTATAAGAAGGGTTTATTATAAGCTCAGAACTTACATTTTTGATGGCAGGCTTGCTTTAAAGGTGAAAGTAGAATAGGAAGGGGGAATGGCAGGGATTGAACCAAAGAATGGGGCAAACCTATACAGATGTTAGAAATTTTCCCCTTCATCTCATCTCTATGGACAGTTCACTTGGCCCCCAGGCCTTGGTGATTCATACAGCACCACACACGTTGATGCTTCTGACAATGCTTTTTTTTGTCATATCTGTACATTAGTGCTGGCTAGAAAATTGTGATCTAGCTCTGTATCTCACATTTTTGACTTAAGCTGCTGATTTTTTTAATTTAAGTCATAGCCTTTAGCTAGTAGTTTAAATCAGGCTGACATTGCTTAGCTGAAAAAAACCCACAACTCTAAATCCTGCAGTATCAGCTAATTGGGAAAGATGATCTCAATTCAGGTTAGGAATCCTCTCTTAAAGACATTTCAAAGTAATTTTTTTAGTATAGCAGCATATAACACAGAAGAAGACAGGGCACATAAAGGTGCGAGGTGGATTTGAGACTTGCTGCAAGGTGAGCAGCTGTGTGAGCTGGAAGGTTAGCTATTGTGTTCAACTTCTTTCATGTCTATATCTTGGACTGAGAGGGCTTGTGTTCTGCAGGCATCCACTGATTATGAAGTGTAGGCATCTTTTCGAATTTATTTGTGGCTGATTTACCTGAACTCTGCTACTACAGACCTGCTGGAGAGATCTGGAGAACGTGGGATCCAAGTCTGGGAAGAGAGAGCTTGTTATTCTGAAATAGAGAACTGCATGATATGCCTTTACATTTACATTTATATGTACTGGCAAAATGTAGGGATCTATTTTCCCCTCCTTTGCTTCCTGAATCCGTAAGGGCAATCTGTTATCCTTTTGTATCCAGCTGCATCTAGAAGTTCTTTCATTTTGCAGCTATACACAAGGATTTAGAATGTTTGTTCTGAAATATGAAGGGATGCCACATCAAGGAACTGAGCTGTTTTAACCATAACAAATGAATGCTGTATGTGTTCTGATCTAGTCACGGAAGAGAAATCTTAATTAGTCCTTCCTGTAATCCACTGATAACTGGGTTTACCAACTAGTGATCAATGGGAAATAAAACTAGACTGCTAGAAAGGCATGCTGAGCTCCAACCAAGTGCAGATTTCTCTCTCAAAAGATGTTTCATTTGTGTTCAGTTATGAAAAACTGTTATCAAAGCATGTGTTGAGCAACTGTTGATGTGGAGTTGAGGCTATCAATTTGGATACAGTTTTATAGATCAACTGGCTGTGTTTGGGCTGTGTTTGAAGCATTGCGATGTGTTGTCTTTTTCTTTCTTTCTTTCTCTCTCTCTCTCTTCTTTATAATGACAGTTCCTGGAAAATGTGAAAATTCAGCTAGGTTCCTGCATTTTAGTTGATCTTTGAGAGGAAGGAAAAGTCACATCAGATACTAGAAAAATCTGTTCCAAATCAGTTCTGTGCCTGGAAACTGAGACAGAATGATCAGACGAGCCTGTTAGCGCTTCTTAATTTTTTTTCTCCTTCCCCTCCAATCACATCGCACTCTACTGCTATAAATCTTCAGATTACCCCAAAGGAAGAGAATTTGTGGGGGTTTTGTATGTATTTATGGCCTCCTTACCCCAATTAGTTCTGTCACAGAAGCGGAACACTAGTCATTAACCCAGAAGATGCTCCAACCCTAAAATGAGATAAGTTGACATGTTCAATTTATGTGCATTTTTGTAAGTATTTCCAGAGGGAAAAAAATTCTCATTTGCTGATAAAGCTACTGGTTTTAATTTAAAAAGAGGGATCAAACCAAGAATAACAGCTGTGATTCTGGAGGTTTTAGCCTGTCAGGGGTTTCTAAGAAGTAATTGCCAGAATACTGGGAAAACTGGCTATAAGTTATCTATTTAGAAAATGTAAATTGCCAACTCAGTGTAACTACAGAAAAGAAATATCAGTCCATATTCATTACATGTTATTACTCATGGTACGTCTGAAAGCTTTCTAAAGACCTAAGAGAATTCAAGTAGTGCCTCCTAACTTACAATTTAGTAGAATTTGTATGTAGAAAATAACTTACAATACACGGGAGCATTCATGTGTATTTGCAATTGGAATGTGCGGTGGTGCATATCAACAGCCTCTAAGGAGCAGAAAATTTGAATTTAGCCTGATGGTTCTGAGAGTATTAAATGGCATTAGCTGGAGGGGAGCTGAAAACAGAAGTATCAACCCTGAAAGGGAAAAGAGCAAGGGTGGGACATGAATCACACTCAGAGCTCTGCTCATTTTCAGAGGTGGAGAATGTAAAGGACATTTTCACACCTTAAATAGGAGATTTTTTGATGTGCCTTGAAGGAGCAAAATGGCTGAAGATTTTCCATTTGGTCTACAGAGAACATTCCACAAAAACATTTCCCTCCTTTCTTTTCCTTCTGACTTTGCCCCTATGAACCTGGCTTGTTTGGTGGGGAAATTACTGATAGTTTATGTAGTCAAAGCTCTTAAAGATTCCAATGGAAACATTTTCTCCTTTGAAAAATTGAGATCGAGGCTACTTATTGAACAGGACAGAAATACAAACAGTAATGGATATATGAATTTTTAAATCTTCAAACTCCCTTTGTGAAGTATACGTAAGCGTAACTCATACTGATTTATCTGTAAAAGGGTAAGGAGAGACAGTCTGTTTTCACTCTGGCTTCGGGCACTGAATATATGTAAGTGAATATGTATAAGTTTTATTTAAATTCAAATGTTGTTATTTTAAAATACATGTGTTTTTTAAATTATATTTGAAATTGTTCATCCACGCTAAGGACTGGATTTACTGTAGTATGCTATGAATACAAATATTCTACCAATGTCTGTTTTCTAATGAAGCTTTAAAAGCATTCAAACCACCAGAGAACTGCAGTTAACTGGAGCCAGGATTTGTTTAAACCATGTTTTGACAGAAACAATTGTTCAGGGAGAATATTTTCTTCTGTTTTATTTTGTTCTGCTCATCAGCTCTACAGGTAGTTTTTTTGGCTTGCTTGAAAGACAAAACCAGTTGAAATTAAAAAGTATTCTGATAAACTTTATGTGCATAGAAATTTATGGTAGTTAATTTCATAAATAACAAGGCAATAAGCTTATTTATGAATTTTGAATTCTGTTCTCTATAAAACTTCCACAAAAAAGTTATACACCATAAGTATAAAATAATCTAATAAAGCAATCTTTTACTTTATTTTTAGCTATTAAAATGTATAGGCAAATTCCACCCATATCTAGCAGATTGAAAAGTAAAACTGAAGACCCAAGACTTTCAGCATATATATTTATTTACATAACTATAGCTAGATGAATTTTTTTGATGAGGAGAATGTTTAATATAAAAGCTGATTTGATATAAATCAATGCATTTTAATGGTTACCGGAATCAACTTTATGGAAATAACTGAAAAGCACAAATGTAAAAGATTAAAATTGATTATTTAAATAGTGACTGAAATCTGCGATTTGCATCATTGTGATGAAAATCAATTCATCCTGAATGAAGCTGGGAATAAAGCTCTTCCCTCCCGACAGGAACAGCAGCATTGTTCAGCAATATCCTGCACATTTGTCAAGTTGTAGCTTGTTCAGGTCTCAAGAACAGAAGCACAAAGCTGGCCTCCCAGTTGCTTTTAATGAATACTAGTGGGTTTTTCCTATGTCCAAGAATTTGATCTGTAGGGTGATCCAGAGGTCAAGAACAAACGGCTCACTATCGCTCACCTCTGCGAAGCCAAGGCTTTCATTTGCTTTTTTTAGTAACTCTAGAGGAAGTGCCTTAACTCTTTTTCAGAAGCAAAATTTTAATTGGCATAGATAATGCAGCCATAAGAAAGTATAGACAGGTCCAGTCGTCTCCTTTTAAAATGATGTTTTGTGCATTTTTTTCTTTTCTTTTTAGCCCAGTGTAAATTTGGGGGGGTTAATCGAATAATTTTGCATCAGTTTGAAATAGTTTCTATAACTCTCATTCTTTCCCTGCTTCATTTGCAATCATATTTTAATACAAGTAGCTCTAACTTAGTACCTCTCCCTTGTTTTCAGACTTGGTGTTTATCCTGTCAGAAAAGCATCAGATGATGGTTTTTTTTTTTTCTTTTCAATTATAAGTTTTGTAATGCATCACGGATTTTGCTGACA